CCAACAGTCTTGCTTTCACTCGTGCTGCAGCGGGGCTTATGGCGGCGCTAGGTTGCAGAGTGGTCGGTGTGAACTGGGGGAGGACGCGCAGCGGGTGTTAAAACCACGCTTCTTGATCGGGCTGATCAAGTCCGGTGACTGAAGCTACACAGACAGGTTTGGTGTTCAGACGGTCCTTACACCGGTCGGATCCGGTTTCAGCGGTGAGGACCGCGGACCCCCCGGAGAGTGGATCTATAACGTGACAGTAAAGGTTTCGTGGGGGAGGAGGCTGTCTGGACGAGCGGGAGCTAAACGGGGAGCCAAGCCAATTCAGGTTGGTTGATTGCTCAGCTGAGCCTTGGGGTCCTGATGTGAATAAGGACAGTTTTTGATCGTTTTCTTGACTCCCCTTTTAATTTCGTGTTTTTAATACCGAACAAAGTCTGGATTTTTTACAGGTGAGCATTCGTTGGAAATCCAGATGTGGGGGGGGCTTCCGTGTACGTAAACCTGGCGGTGTCTGGAGAAAGGCACCTTACAGAGGTGCAGAAAAAAGCTAAGAGATTGAGATAAGGCTGCTCCATACAAATTTTACTCTGAAGACATCCAAAATAGTATTATGTATTGTGTATGTCACACAGTTACGGTACTACTTCATTTCTTCTAGTTAATTTATTTTCTGCTATTAAATTGGTCACTTATTAAACCCGTAATAAATGTTGGGATATAGATACACGCAGTTCAAAGTCGCCTATTTATTAGGTTCTGTTGTCCTTATATTTAAGAAAGGACAATAAGAACAGCGATTGGTTAGTTGGTTTTAAACTCCACATTTTACAAAGTCTGTTAATGGGAATTTCTGTACAGAATGCTGGAGCAGAACATGTCTGTTTGGGATTCTTTGGGCATGTTCTCACAGATCTCTGTTTAAATAGATTATAGTTATATAGGATTCAATCGGCATCTATAGCAATGAAATTGGAGATTGCATAACCATTTGCACTAATGCCAGCCTTTTATCAGCTTGGTATGAAAAACAGGGGCTGCCTAAAATTTGGGTTTTTATTTGGGTTAGGTGGGATTTACAGCCGGCTGGATGTAAAAGCATTATCTGGACAGAAAGGATTAAGAATAACAGAAAGGAAACCGTCTTATTTGCGTCCTTGAATTTGTTTGGTGTTTGTTCCTCTGTTGAATGATTCTTGCTGTGTTACAGGACAGGACTTTCATTTTGAGGTGCATCGGTTGTTTTTCTTGTGGACAGGCCGTCTGAGGCGTTTATATTGTAAATGAAATGTGTTAGTGACAGCGAGTCTTTACAGGAAACATTGATTATGTTTCTAATCGAATGCGTTAAAGTCGTTACATAATGTAACAAATAAATCACAGGCAGACCTGTGTGACGAACTAAAAGGAAACTAAAATGCACATTATGTTGTTTCAAGATCCAGTTTTCTTACGTCCAGCTGAGTTTTTAGGTTCCAGTGTTTATACGGAGCGATGAGGCTCTTGATTGAAGCTCGGATTCCCTGTGAGCGGCGGGTCTGTTCGTACCGGACCAGGTGGGCGTGTACGTGTTTCAGAGCCCCCCTTCTAAAGGTCCGGTAGGAATTCAGTCTGCGCGGTAAAACGTCCGTCGTGCTTCACTTCAGAACGAGGACGTAACGCGGTGAGACGTTCTGTTCGCTGGCTGATTTCTTTACAGATGTTAATCACCATTTAACACCTGATAGATTTCACGCACATCTCCTCCTCTACCCCGGTCCCAGTCCCGACCCCGTCCAGGTCCAGGTCCGTTGTGTCGGTAAATGAGCCCCGGTGCTGTGGGCCCCGGCGCGAGCGGCCAGCGCCGTCAACGTTCGGTCCGAAAGGGGGGGGCAGCGACCGTCTGCCCTCTGAATGCTGAGCAAACAAGAAATGCAAAAGCTGCTTACGCTAATGAAATGTCCTCCACCTGCATCTCCAACACCACAGCAACACACACACACACACAGTAACACACACACACACAGTAACACACACACCACACACACCAGTAACCCAACGACAGTACCACAGTAACACACAGTAACACACAACCAGTAACACACACACCAACAGTCAACACACACACACAGTAACACACCCACACACACAGTACACACACACACACACACACACACCACACAGTAACACGAACACACACACACACAGTAACACACAACACACACACACCAGTAACACACACACGACCACAGTAACACACACACACACACCACAGTAACACGACACAGCAGTAACACACCACACAGTAACACCACACACATGTAACACACAACACCAGTAAGCACACCACCACACACAGTAACACACACACACACAGTAACACACACACACAATACACACACAACACAGTAACACACCACACACAGACAGTAACACACACACACACACCCAGTAACCACACAACACACACACAGACACACACCTCCACAACCACACACACACAGTAAACACACACCCACACACAGTAACACCACACACCACCAACAGTAACACACACACACACACACAACACAACACCACAAGTAACACACAGCACACACACACACACGACGACAGTAACACACCACATAACACAGCACACACAGTAACAAACACACAACACATAACACAGCACGACAACACAGTAACA